GAGAACCTTTTTCTTTATATGTCTTTAAAAAAGGAGACAACAGAAATAATTTTAAGAAAGGATAAGATTTCTTTATTTTGTCCGTGTTAGAGTTAATGGTTCCATGGTTTTGAATTACTTTTTCTGTCTTTTTCATTGTTTGCCTATGACACTAACAGATTTCCATCAATGAGCTATAACATGCATAATACTTACATAATTATATTCGTGAAATTCTAGAAACATGAAGTCTGCTTCTAATGGGCTTGTGCTCCCTCCGCCCTCCACAAGAGGGACTGGCCTCTTTTAAGATTAGGGTGGATCTGGCTTACCCGGAAGCTGGCAGGATCCTGTGGTGTGGAAACTTGGCCTTGCTTTTGATTGTGTGATTGACTTGTCTCCTGTAGTCACCTGGCATTGACTTTGGACTTCTGATGACCTATTTGCCTGATATTACAAAATTTCCAGTTTCTGGTTGTCTACCCAGTACCCTGCTTTGTTTTTGTTTTTTGGGGGACTGCCCTTGTTTTAACATTGCGATCTTATTTCAACCACACTAGCTGTTCTTGGCTTCTTTTGCTGCATGGAGCCTATCCTTGTCCACCCAGCAAGGAGGAGCGTCTAGACTCTATTTTCCTGGAGATCCTAGATCCTGTGGGTCTCCTCTGTTGTCCTGTGTTGATGTGGAGCCTGCCTTTACTGTTTTCTACTCATTCAATTATATTGTGATGAATTTTAATATACTGAGTTACCATGTTATGGGGACACGTATAAAGCTATATTGGTTACCCTTAACTGCCTTGTAAGGAATTTAGGGAATTTATGGTTGTTAGGATATTGGTAAGGAAAAAAAAAAGTATTTTAGATGTGGGTATATGGTGTGAGTGGAGAATCAGAAATGCTGCTGAATGAATTAGTCCTATCTTTTACAAGTCTGCTTGCTGCTAAAAGAGATATTATGATCAGCTAATTGAGATCCGTTAAGACCTAAGTGCCTAACCAGTTCTCAGTTTAACAATGCTGCTAAATCCAAACTCTCGTCTGCCATTGATTTAATGCAATTCTACAATATTTTTGCCTAGTGGAATGAAGAACTCTGCAGCCAAACTGACCTGTGGGTTTACCTTTCCATCTGATTAGAAATCACTGGATGATTATCAGTGAAGTGGTTTTGCCTAGTAACATTGCTGTCTAGAAAACAGAAAGCTTTTCCACCTGGTTTTTATGCCTCAGGTTAGTTTTTATGAATGTTTGCTAGGATTAGTATTGAATTCCTGCTGTTGAACTTAATAATGACTGTGATTTCTTTTGTATTTTCGCGTTGAAAATTAATCTGGACTCTTATAATCTCTAGTTTTGATTTGGCTTGAGACTAATTACATTTTAAAGACACCCTAGCCTGATTTTTAAATTTTTATTTATTTTATTTTATTTTTTTATTTTTTAAGCTGAGCCATCCTGCCACCTGTTGGCAGCTCAGCAGCAGCTCAGCTCGGGCTGGGCATCGAACTGCTGTTGCTCAGAGCTCATACTCTTGAGCGAGCTCTTAACCAACTGAGCCACTTGGCCGGCCCCCTAGCCTGATTTTCCTAGTCAAAATACCTCTTAATTTTATTTCATTAGACTTAAATTTTAAAAGAAATCAAATTTCTCCAATGTGGATATTAATTTAAATTGGTTATTAATACTGAACATCTTTTTATGTATCAATTTTGTTAGTGCGTGCACGCGTGGCTATATCAGGATTAAAACTTTTCTTTTACCATTTCTTACCCGAATAAAATGCAAGATGTCTTTGGTGACGTTTCTCCATCCTTCAGTTTCATTTCTCTCCACCCCTATTTAGTGTCTGTGTTATGGAGTGCAGCCGTCCGGTCACGGTGAGTTTCTTCTGTGACAGCCTGGCTGTTTCCTTAAAGCTTCATTTTGTAAGTGGTTTTGCTCACCAAAGTGTTCATCTCACGGGCTCTGCTTTCTGTGAGTAGGGTTTTGTTGTCATCTCTTTATACCTGACTGTTGCAAGGAAGGAATAAGTTTAACATTCACGGTAAAGGTGCTTTTCAACTTACTCCACTGTATAAAGGTGGGTTCCTTGGATGCGAGGGTGCTTTCAGCAGGTGTGCAGGTTACTGTATAGATGTTATGATATCAAGGGAAAATACTGACTCCAGGAAAAGTCTTAACATTAGAATTGTTATTT